TGGTGCTCACGCCTGTAATCCCAGCACTTTGGAGGCCGAGGCAGGTGGATCACAAGGTCAGGAGATCGAGACCATCCTGGCTAACACGGTGAAACCCCGTCTCTACTAAAAAAATACAAAAAATTAGCCAGGTATGGTGGCGGGTGCCTGTAGTCCCAGCTACTTGGGAGGCTGAGGCAGGAGAATAGTGTGAACCCGGAGGTGGAGCTTGGAGCTTGCAGTGAGCCAAGATCACACCACTGCCCTCCAGCCTAGCGAGGGAGAGCGAGACTTCGTCTCAAAAAAAAAAAAAGAAAAGAAAATATGCTATACCCATAAAACGGAATACTGTACAGCTATAAAAAGAAATGAAGTATGGATTCATGGTACCATGTGAACTAAAAATAAAGTTCTAGGCCTTCAACTGATTTAATGAACCCCCATCTTGGCCAGAGGACCCAGAGAAACCTTAAGAACTGTGTTTCCAGGCCATCGTTGGACATGCCTTGTTACACCACTTCCCTTCTGTGGTTTAGACACAACACCTGACTAGCATTAATATTAAAAAAAGAGATCAGCCTGGGCGTGGTGGCTCATGTCTATAATCTCAGCATTTGGGGAGGCTGAGGCAGGCAGATTGCCTGAGGTCAGGAGTTTGAGACCAGTCTGGCCAACATGGTAAAACCCCATCTTTACTAAAAATACAAAAAAAATTAGCCGGGCATGGTATCGTGTGCCTATAATCCCAGCTACTCAGGAGGTTGAAGCAGGGGAATTACTTGAACCAGGGAGGTGGAGGTTGCAGTGAGCGGAGATTGCGCCACTGCACCCCAGCCTGGGCAACAGAGTGAGACTCTGTCTCAAAAAAATATCATAAGGCTGACACAACGAACTCTTTGTGGCAATAGCATACAAAATTATAAACAGGACCCAAGGCCATGCCAAGTAATGGTTAAGTCATGCACCCGTACACTCAAACAATAAACTTTGTTCTAACGCCACAAGGTTTTTCTTTTTCAGCAGCTAAACAAGCGCTGGCCTTGAGATAAGCAATGTTAACAATGACAGCTCGTTCACTGCCAGAGGCTGACCTTCCTGTGCTACAAGCCATCACTTTGATTGGACAAGGGACTCATCTCAGCAACTCTCTCCTGATAAGAGACGACTGAGCAAGAACTGGTTCTGGCCAGTTTACAGAGGTTGCACACTTGTATAACTTTGTGTCTTGGAAAGACCTTTAGATGTATAAGGCCTAATTGTGATACATTTAAATGTTAAGTCTCCACCCCAAAGTGAACATGGGTCATATATAACATACATGCTTATTCAGCACTTACATGTTAGAACCGCCCTAGAGAATATTCATAGCTCCTCCTATAACCTGTTGAATACGTATGCTTGGCCATCCCATTCAGCATAAATTCCCATCTCACTCCTCCCTCCCTGCAATGTGCCTGCCTTTCAGACTCTGTTGGAGGTTGTGCATCCCAGCCTGTTAGGATGGCCGTCTTGCAGTCTGTAACCCTTTATAAGACATAAAGCCTCTTTTATTTGTAAACAAATAAATAGCATGATTTTTAAAGTTAAGAGTGTAATTCAATTTTTACAAAGTGTCCAGAATAGGTAAATCCAAAGAGACAGAAAGTAGCTTGGTGCTTGCCAGGGGCTGGGAGAAAGGAGGAGTGTGGAGTTGCTTAAGAAGTATAAGTTTTCCTTTGGGAGATGATGAAAATATTTAGGAATTATAGGGGTGATGGTTTCACACATGTGCATGTACCAAGTCCACTGAATTATATACTTCAAAGTTGTTAGTTTTATGTGAATTTAACACTTATAAAAATTAGTGGTTATTTTAACAGAGGAGGAAAGCATGTAAGCTATTGGAATTAGAAATTCCAGTATTATTTTATGTACTTCTATGTAGTTAGCTATTTGAAATAATGATATATTTATTCACATCTTAAATAAGAAAACAGGTAAGTATTTTCAAATAAAAACCACTGAAATATTCTTCATAAATTCAATCTACTATAAGGCTGTCCTTCGCAAATATAATTTAAGTGATAGATACCTTAACATAAAATCCTACTAATTTTAAAGAACATGCAATATAATAAAAACGTTTAGTAGAAAGGATTTTGAGGTTTCTGATGTTCACAGACGTTACTTTTTGCTTGCTCTTTGTTACATCAGTTCATAATCCTGGAGATTCATATAGCTAGAAACAATTATTTTGTACTTAGAAGCTAAGGCAATCTATGTGATACGCTACATGATTTCTAAAAATAATTTATTAGGCTTTTACTTTTACTTTTTGAGAGGAAGTTTTTTGGAGGTTGATTTCTGCCAAAATGTAGAACCAAGTGATGCTGTTATTATCTATTATCCCATATCTTACAATTTTTCATTACTAGATTTAATTGTCCAAAAATGCCCTTAGAGAATATTTCTAGATATGTGCACGTTCATAATAAAATGCTTGTAGGGAAAGCAAAATTAAACCAGAAACCACTGTTTTGCCAAAGCTTAGACCACAGGTGTGTGGGTTTATTTACCTGAATCAAAACCTCCTGAAGCTGATTACAAGCACCGATTAGTGAGCGCATCTTGGCCCAGGTTTACTGGATCTGAATCATTGGTTGGGAGCTAGAGCAATAGCTTTTTTTTTTTTTCTTTTTTCACAAGAACCCAGAGTGAATACAATATGCAATATTGCAATATTGTTAATCAATTCATAAATAATTCTTCTGTATCACCACCTGAATTTCTCAAATCATCTTGCAAAGCCCTACTTTAACAATTCAATAGACACATATCAAATATTATGTCAGACACAATTTCCGACACATCCACATGCTTGGGAAAAAAGACATGGTGGTAGGGGATGCAGCCTAGAACCACTTTCCACATGTTCTTTCCTGATTTTCTGATTTATCTTTCAATGGCAAAAACCGCACTTACTTTTGCACCAACCGAACTTCAGCTGTGAGGACGAAAAGCCAAAACTATGCTAAGGGGTTCTCAGTGCTTTCCAGAATGGTAAACCATCACCCACAGCTGAGGAGGTAAGAGGTTTATAAACACCTGTGGAGGCCCACGTCCCTAGGTTTTCTGTTTCTTGTGATACCTTGGGCTGGAATCTGAAGCAATGAAGATCTCTTGTGTGTTGGGAGAGCTCCTCATGCTTTTCAAGTTGATTCATGGTCTCCAAGATTGTAAGAAAAAGCGGGAATTTTTGGAGATGGCGATTTCTAACAGCAGGGCCTTTTTTTCTTTTTTTTTTTTAAACATATTGTTGACTTCGGGAGTTTGTTTTTTATAACCTGGTGATCAGTTGCTAATAGCTAATGATTGCAAAGTTACAGCCAGACATAGTTTTATCTTTACCCCTGTACTTCCTCTTGAATTTTTCCTCTAAGTTGATCTCAAGGTGCCGTTTTTATTTTTCTCACATGCAAAATATTTCCAGGTTCTTTCTCTGCTGGAGACTAGCTTGTTACTTTGCTGAATGTGAAATACTTATAGTGACTGGCAAAATCAGGAGAGACTGCCCAGTGCCTAGGAGAGGAGGTTACTAGGTCTACATTTCTGGCCATGGGGTATGAAGTTTGGACAGAGAGTAGTCAGCTGTATTCAATTGTTTATGATTCCTTTTCAGAGTTGAGGCTCTGAATAGATTTTGCATAGGTTTTAATCCTGATCTGCCATTTAAAAGCTATGTGACCTTAAATTTATCCATGTGTAAATATGAGATAATGATAAAATTGACTCCATAGAAATGTACTGAAAATGAAGTAAGACCCCAAACCAAAATTTAACATAGTTGGCAATCATAAAAAAATTATTGGAGTAACTGCAATATTATTTTGTTTCTGAATCCTGAGTTTCACATACCAATTAATATTTATTGGCTCAGATATTTTGATCAAAATAAAATTTTAAGTGGAAGCACATGATCTATTTTTCCATTGTGTGCAACCAAATGTCAAAACTTTTTCTTGTGTCTCCATTTCAGATATCACTTACACCTAGATATATTTCAAAAATGTATTCATGAGACCTGTTGGTAAAATTTGAACAATCCCTAAAAGCAAAGTGAGTATGTTGGGATATTTGACTTATTTAGCTTAGACATTCTCAAGAAGTGCTTCTACGGTTTTTCCACATTCTGATGAAAAAAAACTGAGACACACAGAGATTAATTGGCCCAAGATCTCCCAGTGGAAAAATATACAAATAGAAACAAAACATTTTCACTCTACAGTTGGGAATTCAGCTCAAAAGGTTGAACATTTCCTGAGCGCTTTGTGTGGGGGCAGACATACTATCTGATGTTTTCCCTTTTCAAATTTTCTTTCAACAGTGTCTATAACCTGTTCTGAAACCTGGCTCCAGGTCAAACTTAGACGAACGCCACTGTTAAATGACCTGCAACCTTTGCAAAACGAACTCTCTCTAGGAATTGGCTGTCCTGTAAACATGGTCGAGGTGGATTTCTTTGGGTTCCTGTATCTTCTAACTTTTTGTGGCATCAGAGTGAGCGTAAGAGCAGTTATTATTTCAACCAATAATATATCTTTTGACTGTTTTGGGTCCACAAACCAATGACTAAAACTACAGTATTCAAATTTTAATTGTCAGTTAATAGTTGATGTAATATTGACCATTCTCTTTAACATTTTTGGATATTGCTTCTATCTGTCGGAAAGACAAATAGGATTTGGGATCCCAAAAACTATGCATTCCTACTTTAAAAACCATTTTTTTTTTTTTTGGCAACGTATCTCTTTTGCCTGTGATAGTGGTTTTTTGTTTTTTAAAATACTCTGTGTTAAATCTAGTTTGAGAGAAACATTTTGTTTTGAAACAGTGTCACAAATACCCAACTCTTGTTGACCTAAAATTTTGATGAAAATGGAGTGTATCAGTTTATATAGTTCCTGTATTAATAAGATAAATCAATCTTTCCTGTCACCAGAAAGCTGGTTTTTTTTTTTTTTCCTTTATGTTAAATTGTTGCTGTGTTTTGTAATTATAGCCTGGTTTTTCCTTTTTGGAGTCACATCTGTTTCTAGTAAAGATTAGGTGAACTGATCCTATTTTTGGATCTAAGTGCATGACTTTATCGTTTGTTTGCTGCTGTATCTCTAGTATAAAAAAAAAGTCTAGCATTTGGCAAGTACTCAATTTAGCATGAGGCTGACTCAACTGGTTTTCTAAAGTTGTCAAATATCTAGCCAAAATTCACACTGAGTAATTTAGGTCTGCCTGAATCAGACCCTGACTCTTTTTTTTTTTTTTTTTTTTTTTTTGAGATGGAGCCTTGCTCTGTTGCCAGGCTGGAGTGCAGTGGCACAATCTCGGCTCACTGCAACCCCCACCTTCCGTGTTCAAGCAATTCTCCTGCCTCAGCCTCCCGAGTAGCTAGGACTACAGGCGTGTACCACCATGCCCAGCTAATTTTTGTATTTTTAGTAGAGATGGGGGTTTCACCTTGTTGGCCAGGATGGTCTCGATCTCTTGACTGAGTGATCTGCCCACCTCCGCCTCCTAGAGTGTTGGGATTACAGGCGCGAGCCAACGCGCCTGACCCAGACCCTGACTCTTAAATAAATGTGGTGATCAAAAGTTGTCTATGCAGACTCAACTGCCGAATCCAACGTCCCTGCTACTATGGCAGGAGCTATTAATGTCTGCTAAAACCAGGGATTTTTATCACTTAGCTCTGCTTTTTCTGTTGTAAACCTTGCACTCATATCTACTTTATGTCATAAAGTAAAAATAAAAGTAAAAATTATTATTTTGTTTTTAATCTATTTTAAAAATGGAATTTGAAAGCATTTGAAAGAAATATAATTAAGATAACTTATATCCTTTACACCTTTAGGAACACGGAGTAGGTATGCTCATTGAAAGTTTAATTGTGTATGAGCCACCGAATTTTGACTTCAATTTACACATCCCAGTATCATGCTATGTGCAAAGGTAAGTGCAGTGCACTACTGAGATCAAGGCTATCTAACATTATCTTTGGCTTCTAGGTGTTTTGATCAGTTAAACTGCTGAACATTACGCTAAGGTTGGACATTGGATCAAATTAGATCTGTGGTATTCTGTTTGGTCATGTGAGTAGGTCTAAAAAAATTGGTTCTCTCAATGTAGTTTCTGAACGAGTAGATGAGGCTCAGTTGCTATATGAGAATTAAATTCTACAGTCACTAAAGAGATTATATCAGAAAGTTTTTGTTAGTAATCTTTCCTTTTTTGCGGTGTTCCTTGTCTGCACCTACCCATACTGCCTCATTCATGGCTATTATAGGAGCTTTTAAGTTTTTGTACAAACCATACCACCTTTCTGCAGATATGGGGAGGAACCAAGAGATTCAAAATCAGTATTTTCTCAGTTTTAAAACTAGAATCGAGTTAGTCTCTGATTTGTTAGTTTCTGCAATACAAATAAAAATCAAGACTTGCTAATGACCGCAATTCTCTCCTTATTGGAGAAACTTTTCTTCAATGAGAGAATAAAGCAGGAGAGCCTGTTGATGAAGGTTGAGGCAATTCTGCTTGTGATCAGATCCCTGGGTGAGCTGTTCACAAGGCCCAATTGCACGTGTGTTCTCTCTGCCCCTAGAGTGTTCATTCCAACCTATTTTGAACAGTCTGGCCTCTGGAGACACAGAATTTAATGGCTATATTTATCTTACAACCACTGACTTCAACTGTACTGTGAAATATTTGCTTTTCTTCATTAACAGCATCTTTGGTCCTTCTCATAAGTAAAAATCAAGTCAGGTCTCTATCTCCAGTATTATATCAAATTTAGGTTTCCTTTAAGATTCCTAGAGTTTTACAGAGCACACAAAGGATTTGGGGAAGAGGGTTTAGTATAATCTGAGTAGTACATTTCCCTCTGCTGCTTTTCTCTTCACGTTTTGCTGGGTATGACAGGATGAAAGAGGTTGGGTCACAATTATCTCATGGTTATATGGTGCAATTGTGGTCCATTTCCAGCAATGCTGGCTAGATAATCACACCTCCACCCAGAAGTGTGTCTCAAATTACGGATATGTGAGTTTTTTGGAGTCCTTAGAAAGGGGGTGGCCATCACAACTGCATATTTCCTGATAGACCAATCTAAACAAGGCTTCCTTCTTAGTCCATACAATTGCCACCGTAGGCCTCCACACAACCTGCTCATTTTCTGTCTTGTTTGGTTTCTATTCCAGTATCTTGACTTCTTGAGGTCTCCTCCCCACTTCACAGGTATTCTTGAGAGAAATCCTGGAAATACAGCTAAAACATTGGTACCTGTGAGAGAAATTACTTAGTCATACTATAATTCATGGTGGGAGAATATGACCTTTCTGCCCCCTTTTCTACACTCCATGTCTCTCATATGTCATTCTACTGCATAGGCAGATACTTGGGAGTAAAATGTCACCCTCTTGCTGTAGGAAACTCAGTGTTGGAGAAGCTGATAGAAACACCTTTATTTGGCTTCTTTAAGGGAGGGAGAACTTTAGTGACCACACTTATCCCTCTGTCACAGGCCAAGAACTCGGAGCTGCATGCCTCTAATCACTCTCTGTAGATGTCCGTTGAGATGATTAGAGATAAGAACTGCTTCAGCCACTTATTAAGAGTTCTTGGTATTTGACATCCTATGAAATTAGCTTCAGGTCCCAATAGTACATTCTGGAATAATGAAAAGTTGTATTCAACCATCTGTGAATTTTTTCTCATATTCTATGAAACAATAAATTTTCATATTTGTCTAAGCTAGCTGATTTAGCATTCTCTCACAGCTGGAAGAGATCTGTTTAATTTAGTTTTCTCCACATTTCAACTTTTTCTCCACCTCCAAAAGCATAATAGATACAAAGCTTAAATCTTTTTTTTTCTCTTTTTCAGAAGGTTTCCAATAATCTTAGTGATGAGAAGGGGAGAGAATGACAACCGTCGTGAATGCAGAAGGTCAGTGGGACAGCACTGCTCACTATCACGCAAACTTGAAGACTTGGGAATCCGTCCAAGAGTGTCCTATGTGTAAGAGTATTTTGAATTAGTACCATAAATGCTTACAGTACGTTTATATAAAAAAGGTCAGAGTTTAGTAAGGTGGTGACATACGCCACACTTTGTGTACTATTGCCGCTCTGATTTTAGTTCAGGATCATTGGAATACTGCATTTTTTATATCTATTAGGGATATATTTTATCTTGGCATTTCTCATTATTTCCTTATGTAAAACAGATTTGTAATTGTAACCTCAATAGTTCTTTTATATTAACTTTCTTGAGCTAGAGATAAACCATCTTTGGTGCATGTAATATAAGTGTGCAACGGGATCATGGATTCCCATAAAGATAGTAATTGATATCTATGTTAACTCTAATTCCAGCTTTTTGTTCTAAAAGAACTAAATGTCAGCAAGAGAAAACTCAAGTGAGCCATAAGAATATTCAAATAGGCTATAATCTTTAGCCTTTATTATGCTAGAGGGACAGGCCCTTACTCCACGTATCAGCCAACCCTCATAATTCTAAACTTGATATGGTGTCCTCATGTAAAATTTATAATCATTTACTAAGCATTTGTTAACTAATAGCTATATATACACATAACATGTATGTGTGTATACATGTGTATATATCGTATTTGTGATACTTGAATCATTAGAATATTATAATGGTTCCTGGGGTTTAAAACTGATGCTTTTTCCCAGGTTCCCATTTGGTTGAGCCTCAGTGGTTCTTTAGTTAGGTAGTAGTTTCCCATCAGTACAACAATGTAACTGTTTCTTTTCCTTCCTTACAGGAACAGTGTTCCCTTGTTGAGCTACTTAATTGTATCCCTTCCTAAGTGTAAGAACAAAGCTATACATTCTGGATGATGAGGCCACCCTATTTCATTCACCTGGTGCTCTGGCCGCTTGAGGATTTCATTGCCTTTTAGAAGTTGAACTAGTCACTGGATATTGTCTTTTATCATTTCAAATGTGATATTTTTAAATGAAAAACTTGCTCTGTTGTCCATATTTATGAATTGTTGGGGTAGGGAGAAAAGCCTTCCTTTCCCAGATTTTAAACTTGTAATAAATAAACTTTATTCTTAAATAAAGTTTTATAATTCTTAATAGTTATTTATATTTTTTAAAGCCTAAGTCCTGATCCACAGAGCATTATAAAGTGTGAGGCAATTGCATATTGTGACTAGGCTTATCCATCATCTGTTTTGGGTAGCAATAGAGTATCTAATACACAGTAGTCTTTCCTTATTCAGTTTTGCTTCCCATGGTTTCAGTTACTCGCTGTCAACTGTGGTCTCAAAATACTAACATAGTCTTAATATCTTCATGGAAATTCATAATTCCATTTCATGCTTGTTACATACTCCAAAGAGAGACACATTCACATAACTCTTGTTGTAGCATATTATATGTTTGTTAGTCTTTTACTGTGGCTAATTAAACTTTATCATAGATATGTATAAGAAAAAGTACAGTGTTTATACAGGGTTTGGTACTAACCACAATTTCAGTAATCCCCTGGGGGTCTTGGAATGCATCCCCTATGGATAAAGGGAACTACTGTATCATAATCTAATTCTCTAGTTGTTCCCCATTTCACTGGCTTCTAATGATATGTGTAAAATAAGGTGAAATCAGAGTTTTCTTTTTTTTTTTTTTTGAGACAGAGTCTCGCTCTGCCGCCCAGGCTGGAGTGCAGTGGTATGATCTTGGTTCACTGCAAGCTCTGCCTCCCGGGTTCACACCATTCTCCTGCCTCAGCTTCGCTAGTAGTTGGGACTATAGGCGCCCACCACCACGCCAGGCTAATTTTTTGTATTTTTAGTAGAGATGGGGTTTCACTACGTTAGCCAGGATGGTCTTGATCTCCTGACCTCGTGATCCAGCTACCTTGGCCTCCCAAAGTGCTGGGATTACAGGTGTGAGCCACCATGCCCGGCCTAGAATTTTCTTTATAAATGGTTCAGAAAATAGCCTATTTCAATATCCACTTTTCTGTATTTTTTACCCTCTGTATCACTTTCCTTTTCTGTGTGTTGGCAATTTCAAATTAGTTCGGGGATTTAGGTTCATCCATCTGGTCATATAAAGAGGCTAGAATTAAGAGGAAATAAAATTCCAGTTGGTTTCTGCGTTATGATTGCTTCAAACCAAAAGTGAATTTTCCTTATCCAAATATCTCTAAAGGCAAATGGCAGCATTTGAAAAGAAGGTAAAAATCTTCTGCTTTTAGGGATTCTCTTGAAACTCTTCACTCCTAATCTCTGGATTATGGATCAGTTGACAAAAGGAACAAGGGGATATAATCGCAGCATACTCTAGTCCTGATAAGGCTGTCAAACAGTTTAGAGCCCTGGACAAATAAAGTGTCCTGCAAATCTCTGCCCTTTCTTAACCAGTCAGAGGGAGGAACCTCTGCCTCAGAGTTTATAAGATGTAAAGGGCCTGGGGCTAGGAAGATTTCCAGACCAGCAAAAATCCAGGTAAGGCTGTCGAGTGATTCCATCTCTTCTCACCAGTGGATTAAAGATTGAATTTTCTTATGAGAAAAATGGAAAGTTGAAGTCCATAAATGTGTCTCAAATGCTGTTCTTTCTTGGGTAATGTAGTAAATAGACATGGTCCCCCAGAGCTATCCTGTTCTACTGTCCTTTATTTCTGTTTATTTCCCAGTGCATTTTCCCCTCTTAAGCCCCTAAGGGAATTTACTAACACAATATGAACTATTTCAATGCTTGAATGTAAGAACATGATTTTCATTTTAATTCATGAGACATTTTTCATTTTTCTCTAGAGAGAAATGCGTCACCTATTTTAAGTAAATTTGACAATTTAACTGAGTTGCTGCAATTCCTTAATGAATGATTCATACATGTATATGCTCTCTGTTCCTCAATTCTTTCAACTTAAGTGTCTTTTTGTTAGACTTATGTTTCAATTTTAGAAAACCAAGAGTTGAGAAATCCTACAGAGCAGTTTAAAAATGTCAAGCAAAGCAAAAGGTTTTTTTTTGTTTGTTTGTTTGTTTTTGCATTTCACTCTTGTTGCTTAGGCTGGAGTGCAATGGCATGATCTTGGCTCACTGCAACCTCCAAGTGATCCTCCTGCCTCAGCCTCCCTAGTAGCTGGGATTACAGGTGCACATCACCGTGCCCAGCTAATTTTTAAAAATATTTTTAGTAGAGATGGGGTTTCACCATGTTAGCCAGGCCAGGTTGGTCTCACCGACTTCAAGTGATTCACCCACCTTGTCCTCCCAAAGTGCTGGGATTACAGGCATGCACCACCATGCCCAGCTAACTTTTTATTTTTAGTAGAGATGGGGTTTCACCATGTTGGTCAGGCTGGTCTTGAACTCCTGACCTCAGGTGATCCGCCCAACTTGGCCTCCCAAAGTGCTGGGATTACAGGCATAAGCCACCGCACCAAGCCTAAAAGCAAAGCAAAAAGGTTTTCTACACATAAGTGTCCTTTGTAGAAGTCATCAGTGCAGGACCTATTAATATTGGTCCATCCCTCCCAGAGGTGTCATAGATGAAAGATGATACAACCACACACATTTAAGTCTATATACAGCAAGGAAGCAAGAGAAAATAAGTGGGGAAGGGTTTTGAAGAGAGACGATGCATTTAGGATAGGGTAGAGGCAGAATTGAAGGACCATGTTACTGTAATCTTCAAATATGCACTGTTCATGCGCTGTCCTTATCTCTGCTGCATCATCTTTCTGCACTGATTGTGATCATGAGATTACAAGAACCTGAATTGAGGATTGAAAAAGGGCTCCAGGCAGAAGGTGCTCAAGGTCAAGGACATGCATTTGGTCTATCAGAGTGTCACAGAGGCAAGCTCCCTGCCCAGAGCTGTAGCTCACCAGTTCATGTGGTGTACTGCCATGGAATTCATGCAGAGGAGTAAAAAACATACGAGGGCCATAATGTGACTACATTAGGTATCACCAGTAGGTGGGCAATGTTATACAGATGTTAGGTCAATATATATATATACACACGCATATATATGTGTGTGTGTTGGCTCAGATCATCATGGAGGCTAATTCCCAAGATCCGCAAGCTAGAGACCCAGGAAAGCTCATGGTATAGTTCCAGTCTGAGTCTAAAAGCCTGACAATCAGGAACATGAAGCGTGCGAGTCCCAGCCTGAGGGCAGAAGAAGACCAATAATATCTGAGTTCAAGTAGTCAAGTGAAAAAGAGTGAATTCTCCGTTCCTCTGTCTTTTTGTTCTATTCAGACCATCAACAGATTGGATGATGCCCAGCCACGTTGGGAAGGACGCTTTGCTTTACTTAGCTTACCTATTCAAATGTTTGTCTCCTCTGGAAACACCCTTACAAACACACCCAGAAATAATGTTTAACCAAATAGCTGGGCACCCCGTGGCCCAGGTAGACTGACACGTAAAATCAACCATCACACTGACTCATCTATGTTTAACAGATTTTATTAATTCTGTGGTGTTCCACAGCCTTCTTCTAATACTTCTGTACTTAAGATATCCTATAAATTTGCCTATGTTATTTACATCTAAGTTTATTACTCCTTATTGATTTTAACTATTTTCTTTTCTTGCCTTGATAGCACAAGTCCATACTCTCAAATAATACAGATGAAACATGTTATAAAAGTTAATTGTTACAGAATTATATGCTTGAATGCTAGAAGACTATGGATAAACAGCATTAACATTCAGAAAGAATTTGTGAGAAAATAGATATTTTTGGAAACATATAAACTTAAATATTATTAACCTTAGATGATTTCTGAAGATGTGAAGATATCCAACAGCAAAACAAAATAGGGATTGCAATAGGACTAGAAGTTCTAGCCAGGCAAACTAGGCAAGAAAAGAAATAAAAGTAATTGAAATTGAAACGGTAAAAGTAAAATTATCTGTGTTTGCAGATGATGTGATCTTATATATCGAAAATCCAAAGAATCCACAAGGAAGCTACTCGAAAATCCAAAGAATCAGCAAGGTGCAGGGTAAAGGTCAGCACAAAAAGGATAATATTCAACATTATAAGAAGTCTTAATACATTTCAAAGGATTAAAATCATACAGAATGTTGTGTATTTTCTGACACAAAGAATGTCTCTATAATTCAAAAATTAAAAAAAGATAATTTAGGCTGGGCACCGTGGCTCACACCAGTAATCCCACCACTTTGGGAGGCCGAGGTAAGAAGGATCATTTGAAGTCAGGAGCTCGAGACCAGCCTAGGCAACAAAGTGAGAACCTGTCTCTACCAAACAACAAAAAAGATATTTAACTATCATCATGTGCATAAATTGAGGAATAAATGTCTTAATAATCAATGATCAAAAAGTCATAACAATAATTAGAAAATATTTCAAATAAAAATGATTACAAAAAGGCCACAGTTCCAAACCTGTAAGATGTAATTAAAACAGTATATAGAAAGGGATTTATAGAATGAAATGTATTAGAAGAGAGGAAAGCTTGAAAAAAATACACTAACAAACCATTTCGAGAAATTTGTAGCACAAAATAGATTCAAAGAAAAAAGAAGCAAAAAATAAAAAATAAAAATAGCATAGATTTTAAAATTTCTGAAAAAAAATCACAAAGCTCAACAAAGCCAACTGTGATTCTTTGAATATCAGAAATGAAAAAGAGGCATCAGGTTAGGCAGATAATAAATAACTTAATAAATAGATTTATTTATTTATTTAATAGTTAAGGACATAAAGAACAATTACATGCCAATTTATCTGAAATATTAGAAGATATTGACAAATGCTTAGAAGTATGTTACTCAACAAAAGTAATTATGGAATCATTATTTTAAAACTATAGTTTTATAACAATAAAATAAATTATCAAAAACCTGCTATAAATCAAATTCAAGACCCAGTTTGCTTCATGTAATATTTCTACAAGACATTTAAGAGGAAAATAATTTCTTTTTTTTTTTTTTTGAGACAGAGTCTCGCTCTGCCGCCCAGGCTGGAGTGCAGTGGCCGGATCTCAGCTCACTACAAGCTCCGCCCCCCGGGTTCACGCCATTCTCCTGCCTCAGCCTCCCGAGTAGCTGGGACTACAGGCGCCCGCCACCGCGCCCGGCTAGTTTTTTGTATTTTTTAGTAGAGACGGGGTTTCACCATGTTAGCCAGGATGGTCTCGATCTCCTGACCTCGTGATCCGCCCGTCTCGGCCTCCCAAAGTGCTGGGATTACAGGCTTGAGCCACCGCGCCCGGCCGAGGAAAATAATTTCAATCTAAAACTCTTCAAGAAAATTGAAAAAGAAATAATTACCAACTTACTTTATGAAGCTAGGCTAATCTTGATAACCTCATAAGAGAAGAAAATGACAGGCCATTTTCACCAATGAATATAGATGTAAAAGTTTTAAGCAAAAAAAACCAAAAAACAAAAAACTGAAATATATAAATAATAATACATTATAATTTGTTTTGCATCAATAATGAAATTTGGACTAAATATTAGAAAAAGCTATTACAGTATCCTTTTTTTCTTTGAGACAGAGTCTCACTCTGTCACCTAGGCTGGAGTGCAGTGAGACAGTCAGGCTCACTGTAGCCTTGACTTCCTAGGCTCAAGCAATCCTCCCGCTTCAGCCCCCCAAGTAGCTGGGACTACAGGCATATACCACCACACCCGGCTAATGTTTTTGAATTTTTAGTAGAGATAAGGTTTCACTGTGTTGCCTAGGTTGGTCTCGAACTCCTGAGTTCCAGTGATTCTCCTGCCTTGGCGTGCCAAACTGCTGGGATAACAGGGGTGAGCCACTGCGCTTGGCCCTATCACAGTATTTTACCACAATACCAGATTAATGGATAATATAGTCAACTCAGTAGATGCAGTAAACATATTTGATAAAATACATCAGCTGATGATGACAAAAATGAGCAAACAATACAAAGAAACATCTTTAATTTGGGAAAGTTTAAAATACCCTATATCAAACATCATGTTTTTACAGGGTAAAATGCTGATACCTTTCTCTCTGATAAGAAATAAGATAAAGGTACCCATGATTACTATTTTTATTAAAGTATTTGTTGATGGTTCTAGATAGAGTACATACAGCAACATTAAGGAATAAAAGATAATATAGAAAGAACCTCATTCACAGGTGAATCATTATGTATATAGAAAATACAAAAGAATTTACAGATAAGTTATTAGTTAACCATTAAGAAACTCATTCACAGGTGAATAATTATGTATATAGAAAATACGGAAGAATTTACAGATAAATTATTAGAGTTAACAATTGATTTACAAAAAGCAACTGGAATTTGCTGAACCAGCAACAGTAAGTGAATAGAAAAAATGATAATAGGATGAGAATATCTGATACTTAGGAGTAAATCTAAGAAAATACGTACAAAAACTATAGGAAATTATAAAAATTTACCTTGAGACATTAACAAAGATCTAAATAAATAGACAATATGTTTATTGATTGTTAGACTC